ACTTAAACTTGATCATTACAAACAAAAAGCCTGGAAAATTTTCAAAAAATCCATTAAATAAAAGAAAAATAGAGAATATCTATCAAACAAGAGACATTCAAACAATTTTATAACAAATCTGAGGTACTATACAATTGAAACAGTTTGTCCAATTTTGATCCTCCTTTTCATTTATAGTCACTATTAGTCAGTCACCTGGCAGAGCACTGTAGCTAAGGAAAGCATTCCACCTTGGGTGGAAAGATTTTTTATAAGTGAACCTCCATTTCTAGAATTCCACCCTGCTCGCGTATATTGTCGACTAAAATAGTAGAACTATTTTAGCTTTCAAAAGTACGGCGCACGGCGCATTTTTTTACCAATGTAGTACGGCACACCGTGCAGGTCGTTAAAATGACAACATAAATTCCTGCGCACCTGGCACATCTTCCTGACCATGGTCAGGTGTAGACTGTAGAGTAGGTATTTGCATTAGTGTGGAGTGAGCTAGAACTTTTCAGAGCTAAACTGTAGGCTAGAGCAAAATTCCACCTTTTAGTGCAAAATTTTCAGAGCTAAACTGTAGGCTAGAGCAAAATTCCACCTTTTAGTGCAAAATAACATAGAAACAAAGTGAAAAAATACTTATATATTATTTTCAATATAAATTGTTTTATTTATGGTGCATTTAATAACACAACGAAAATATAATCTGTTTAAATAACATGGTAATTATTGGTAAAACAATGAAACCGTATACATTTTTTCATCCACTCAAATTCGATCACAAAGAATAGAAATACAACAATTTTCAATTACCGATTTAAACATGTTCCCCCACTTGTGTAGGCTAGAGCAAAATTCCACCTTTTAGTGCAAAATTTTCAGAGCTAAACTGTAGGCTAGAGCAAAATTCCACCTTTTAGTGCAAAATAACATATAAACAAAGTGAAAATAAACTTATATATTATTTTCAATATAAATTATTTTATTTATGGTGCATTTAATAACACAACGAAAATATAATCTGTATAAATAACATGGTAATTATTGGTAAAACAATTAAACCCTATACATTTTTTCATCCACTCAAATTCGATCACAAAGAATAGAAATACAACAATTTTCAATTACCGATTTAAACATGTTCCCCCAGTTAAATTTTTTTACATTTTTTGGTGGAAGTACTACACTATGTGTAGATAATATCCCCACAAAAAGAAATTCTGTTGCAATTTTTTCTAGGTCCATCCTTTTCTATACACAGAAACAGAATGACCGGACTATCGGCCCGTTGCCGCTTTATCATTTATGTTTCATATATATACACAGTATAAACTTAAGTACGTCATTAAATCCAGACATTGATAACCTCTCCAGGCTCTCCTTTTTATCATCAGAACGATATCCAGATTTCAAGTTAATGCTTCAGGACGTAAATTTAAGAACTGACCTTATGCTCGAGTGCTCAAGCCTAAAAAGGCAATTTATGACAACATTCAATCGTGATCGGGGCCGGAGGGATCATTCAGAGGTTAAGAGGTCCAAGTTGTAAAATGAACTCTGTACATATCCCGTACGTCAGCAAGAACTAAGCTATAAAACTTCAGACAAAAATTCAGTTTAGGCAAGTGAAAGATAATTTAGATGAAAACCATATCATTGTGATCAATTGGTTATTAAATTATTCTCATTTCACCTTTTAATATGATAGTTTATTTGGAAACACGCTGTGTCTGGTGTTTACCGACGTTGTTAAATTTGGTCACCCTTTAAATTAACGGTCCTTGTTTAGAATTCCTGCTGTCTTCTTTATAAATACGATGATGTTATGATAGAAAAAATGTGCACATTGTTTTAACCTGTCTCTATTGAATTACAGTAAGTTTCTTTAGACAGAAAACCACTGAATTGACTTTTCTCCGGATTCGTGGAGGAGTCTACTAAATCGGCGATTGATAGTTCACTAGAAATCACCCGTGGATAAAGAGAAGTTCGTGGGTTGGGTTTGAGACACAGAGCGTAGACTATATATTTCAATGACTTCTCTGATTACAATTGGTTAACTGATGTATTGATTGTAGATTTAACACTTGAACTCCTGTCCTGACACGAGTTTGAAGCCTTTGCTGAGCTGCGGCCTGCGCCCAAGGCAATTCAATAGTATTTCCGGGACCGGGCGATTGACACTGATCGTGATGAGTCACAGTCACAAGCGACTTGAGAGTTGAGACTCCAATGTGAACCAAATCATCAATGACAATAAGCACACAATTAATAATACCTTTATGTCTAGTTTCTGAATGCTGACTGCGGTGAGCCGGTGACTCCTGACTATGCAGATGCTGAGAGCCTGAGATGCGGGTCCATAACCGTCCATCCTTTTTGGGCCAGAACTAACCTTTAAATTAACTAAGTTAGCCTGCTTGCTGCTTGGTACTTGAACTCTAAAGGGAAAGTGAAATCTTTGAGCTCCATTTGCCCTTGCGGCCTTACCTCTGTCAAATGCTTTGGCAAAATCGAGGTACAATGCATCCACCGGCTCCCTTTCGTCCAGCAGGCGAGTCCAATCGTTCAACATAGATAATAAGTTCGTGGTGCAGGATCTGCCGGCAATAAAACCATGTTGACAATCTGATATGAGATGGTGAGCAGTCAAGTGATCAATAATCCTATCTCTCACAAAATATATACCAAATACCAGTAGCTAACCTACCACATGGCTAGAATTTAGGCTAATATTTGAAAAAAATCTGACTGGTGACAAAAACCTCATCTAGGCATAGCCATAGCAGGGTGCGTACCAGTCATGGTCTCATGGAAAACCTGGAAAGTCATGGAATTTGAGTTTTCATTTTCCAGGCCTGGAAAATCATCGAATTTCATTTCAGGTCATGGAAAGTCATGGAATTTGCAAATAAAAGAAAAAATGAAGCATTTTTCTGTGCTGCATGTGTTTACTGTTTGTACAGTTTCTTGTTTTGTGTGTTCTGATTGGATTGGCACGCATCATGATGCATGAAACATAACAAGAGACTGTGACACTGTGTCACTCAGTCACTGTCACAGTCTCTAACCAGAGGTAAACCAGAGATTTTTAGAATTGGTTCATTTTAAATTTCCTTATTCCTCAAGATTAAAATCAATTTATTTATGATAATGCTGGTATCCAAGACTTGAACTGGTACGTCAGACCATTTTCACAAAATTAAAAGGCTGCAAATCATCTGAAACATAAAAAAAATAAAAATTCTGCATATCAAATTTTTAAATGTATCCTACTTAGAAGAATTTTATCTGACTAGTGACTAGCACACGAGGGTCTAAGATAATTGCATTTTTTAATCAAACTAATCAATAGAAAATTTCTGAAACATCAAGAAAAACATTGAATAACATGAAAATTTTTTATTGAATTTTTATCAATTTACCTTGAAAAATTCATTTCAGGTCAGTCAGGAGGATGGTGGGACCCTTGAACTGGATGGTGGACTAAGTGACAAAAACCTTGACCCGGACCCATGTATTTGGGTCACAGGAAACTGCATAGAAAAATTTCATGTCAGGTTTTAGAGCATTTTCTTTTTTTATTAGTGGGATTGAAAAATGCACTTTTCTTATTCCCTTGCACTGTATGCTGGTCAGACAAAATTTTTCTATGTAAATTTGGAAATGTTATCTATAAAATTTCAAGTTTTTTTGATGTTTCAGATGATTTGCAGTCTTTTATTTTTTGTGAACCTGGTCTGGTGGACCAGTCCAGGTCTGGGCTTTTGTCAGTACCTACCAAAAAAAAAAAAAAATGTTCTACTTTGCCACTATGGGCATAGGCTGCATAGCACAGCCTGAAATTAAAGCAAATATATAGGTACCGGTATGTCCAATTGGACAAATGAGCTTCAAATGTAAATATAGACATTGCCCATATGAAATTGAAAAGCAACAGATATATACCTATATGTACAGCTGGATGCTAAAGGGTTGTTCTGTGTTTTAAAATAATATAGATTTCATAAGTCTTCTTGCAACTCAAGTCACAAACTCAACTCAAGTCACAAACTTGCACTCAAGCACTCAAGTCACAAACTTGCAATGGCTTAACTTCCTTAACAAGAAATGACTGTACTGAAATCCAAAATACCTGGTACTACTGAAAAATCCCATCTTATGATCATTGATGCTGATATTTGATATATATATTTTTTATTTTCTTTCTTTCAGGTGCAGAATGCATTAGAAATGACTTTAAAATATGCAGATTAGTAATTATATGTATTTATTTGTTCATAAAATTTTTTATTATAATACATGGCCTGTTAATCATAATTTATACTAAATTACAAATGGTCCTAGATGACAGAAAAATGGACTTGTTAGAATTTAGGCCTGGGGATGTAGGGTGCAAAGTGCTAAATTTATTGCAAAGATCCCCATTGAAGCAGCTACAGCATTTCCATGTCACTCCATCTAGTCAGACCTTTAGCCATGCACTGAATAAGTTGACATTGGCTGTGTCTCAGATTTTATTCTTATTTATATTTTTATTATTTATTAATTTAAGTAACACCTTGGAATGCAACGTTCCATCAAGTTCTCCACTCACTCTCACATTTAATGGTGGGTATACAGTGTACAATAGTGTTAGAAATTAGACATTTAATTTGTAATTGTACCTCTCTTCTGGTATATTTTATTAAGCATCTTCAATACAAAAATAAATGGGTTGTGTTTTATATAGATATATATGTATCTATGGTTATATCTCTTATATGGAAAAAATGTTCATAATTGTTGAAATAATGCTCTATCTTCCATTCAAGTTTAGAATTAATTAAGTTCATCTTCTAATGAAAGTGAAATGAGAACATTTATTAATCATATTTTATTTCCATCTTTCAGTCATGTAAATTTGTGTCTAGGTACTAAGTTCATGTCCTAGTATTTTATTCTATCTTAATCAATTGAGTTGCCACATTTTAATTTCTGTGCTTCTTCCAGATTTGCTTCAAAGAGACGTGATCTTCAGCAAATGTCTCACAGCTCCTGTTGAAGGCAGAAAATTTTTACATCTCTCTGTGGAGTATCTCTCTTTACCATCTGGTGCACAACTCATGGTGAGAGTAGTGTTATGCAGTATAGATGTTGTGATATAAAAAACTTGCTATCTCATCAATCATTTTTAATGTTTTCCATTGTTAAAAATTATGTTATCTCAAATTATGTTCAAAATTTGGTTATGAGCTGTTACAAATCTCAATTCCGACTGTCCAAAAACTGACCATATAATGAGAAAACCTTATTCTACTACAATCAATAAGTTTCAAAAACTGACAATGGTTTTTATCAAAAGAAAAATTACAATTCCAGAAAGGAATTAACCTCTAATGGTTACCTTTTACTAGGTCATGGCTCTCTCAAGATTTGGTTTCAGTTAATTCTGACTTATTTTTCTCCACCTAATGAGTTTGTGTTTCAAATGCTAGAGTAGTGAGGTTTAAATGACTTGACTTGACTGCAGATATACACTGATGGCGAATCTCTGCTGCTTGACCATTCTTGCCTCATGGAGTGCAGTAACCAACCATCAACAAATGCTGCTGCTGCCTCATACGATCTGCTGGCTGATGTGCGCAACCTCCAACTCAGTCTTGAGAAAGAAATTATTGACTCTGAAATATTTCTTGCCAGCAATGAAAAGATTGAAGAAAGGTCTAAGAGAAGTGACTTGAAGTTTGAGGTGAATGTGGATCGAAAAAATATTGAAAAAATGGCACGCCTGAAAGAATTTGCTAGTGGCAAACACTCTACCAAAGCCTTGGATATTATCAAGAAACCTGGAGACTGCACAGTCTGCCCATCTTTCAAAGATCACAAATTAATCGAACTTCATTTGAGGCTACCTCGCAACTTAGACTGTCTAAATAACACTGATGTTTGTCTAGGTAGACCTGAGCTAATTATGAAGATTGAGCTCATAGAGAAGCCACTCGAGTGCAGTGACAGTGTAATGGCCGTGTGGCCACTGAGCAATTTAGACGCTGCTTGCAGGTACTCCAGTGAATCTCTTCCCGCACCATCTTGTTTGGTGACGTCATGTCACCCATCAGAAATTTTGGTGCCCAAGTCTGATGGTATTAAAGAACATCTTAGGCATGAAGCTAGCTCTAAAAAGATTTCAGTCAAAAATAAGCGCAGGGCTAAGAATCTAAAACGAATGCTGGAAACTTCTAGTGCTTTTGTTGAAAAGTTTGAAATTGTACTCATCCCTAGTGAAAGTCACAAAGTTTGTTTTTGGAAACTGGATACAACTTTCCGCAAAAACTTGGAACTAATCATCCCCTTGATTATACTTCCACACATAAACGTGTTTGATGGATCGTTGTTGGCACCGCGATGGAACGTGGAGTTTTGTCCTGTGTCCAACAGCTCATCCTACTGGCTACAGGCGTCAGGAGATGAAGTTTACATTGTCTATAGTAACCCGTATCCTCTTGAGGAGGAGACTACAATTGTGGTGCATCTGCACACTGGTCCGTGTGAGCCTCCAAATTTGGTCGCCCATGCTCAGGTAATGTCTTGTGTCACTTCATTCTGTTCTGCTCTTTTCAATCTGTTTAGTTTTACATTCCTTTGAAATAACGGCACATTCAAGTTGTTACGTTTTTGTCGTCTTGAAAACTTGACGATGTTGGCACTTGTATTCATCCTTCTATCTTATTGCATTGAGGAGAAATGTAACCGAAGTTATTGATTGGTCATTGGTAATGTTATGTTAAATTGATTTTTTGAACTTGCAAAAATAGAATCCAACTACGCGAAATTTCTTATGGTAATATCAGATGTTATCCACTTCAACAAATGTAAGTCAATGGCAAGTGCAAATACACTCTTACATACATCTAACAAACTGTCGTCTGATGCAGAGATGGCCATCATTTACTCTATTTATTTGCTGATTTTGTTATTTAAATGTAAAATTATTTACGTTACTTCGTCTGGCGTTAGTTGAGATTTGTTTGTCTGGTCAGATGTCATGGACAAGCAGTTCCAGCGGAGGCCGGGCTGTGTACGTCTGCGACGAGCTTTTCAGCATGCACGGTGCTGCTGAGGTCATGTGTGATGATCGTGGTTCCTGGGGTCCTTTACCTTCTTGTCATAGTCAATACAAGAACAAGGTGAATTACTTTCGAAGTCTTTGTTTTGCATTATTGTACAATATTTCATTGACGCTCTGTTCTGCAAGATTATTTCGTTTAAGCATAGATGTATTGCTATCACGTTGTTAATGCACACTCTAAGCTAACTAGTACATTTTAAGCTCTATCTTTTTGTAACTCTTGAAATGTACTATTTGTTAATTTCATTTGTGCCTATCGTAATTTCTAAAATTTCATTTGAATCGGGTATATTACAGAGCACATCAGTGTCTGACGAGCCTGACTCGACCGCCGCTAGTCCGACTCACGATGGCGCGATGTGGCTGCTTGCTAATGGCTCACTGCATTCAGAAAGGAACAACAAATCGGTTTGTCGTATTTTATTGGCCTTTGATCAACAAATAATTGGACATTTCACTTTGGCTTTATACAAACGCTATTGCTATTTTTGCTTATCCTAGAGACTATATCTCATGGGTATATATCTATATTTATATTTATCGTACTAACTAAAGAAAAATTCCCTAATTTACGCATTGTGTTATTAGGCTGGATATAGTGCTGGTGAAAGCTCAGACTTCGTCTACTCTCCCGCGGACGGAGCTTTAGACGGCAACGAACCATTCATGTTGGAACCGTCAAGAAGTGCGCCGCATGACGGTACTCAATCTGGTGACTATGACGAGGAAGAAGAAGAAGAAGAAGAAGATGGTAAAGTAGACGGAGGTGACAACTACGACTACAATGAAACCGAGTACGATTATTTGCCTGAATACAATACCACCACTAAGAATCTTACGAGTTTAATCAACGGAAGCGTGGTTACATTGATACCCAACCGCAGCTCAGACGCGTGGGGCAATTCCAGTTTCACAGACGATATCACCGACGTACGATCTCTACTCAAAGCTCTGTCTATAGATGAGAACAAGTTAATTTACTTCCTGGCTGGATGTTGTGGCTTGCTTTTGCTGATCGTTCTGCTCTCTGTTGTCACGTGCTTTCTGATGCGTCGGCGTAGGCATCCTGCCCGAGTTGTAAGAAAGTTCGACACTTTCCAGAACCCTATTTACGAAAAGACTGTTGTGAACGTGCCATTGGAAGGCGACTTTACTGAAGATGAAGACGAAAAACGTCCTCCGTCTACCCCGCCACTCGCTCTCAAAGCTGAAATGGAAGATCTCAGCGACTCTACCGTGATGGAGCAGTAAAATAATATGCTACTTTTAAAGCCGGGGCGCCGACAGGATAACATTTGAAACTTCGGGGCTAATGCTTGTGAAGAATTGATGAACTACCCCTTGAGCTCATGAGCTTTCTTGTGGACAAAGTGTCCATCCTCACCGATAATGCACAAAGTTCTGCCAAAGATCATATTTTATTAATTTTTTCCCCATTTTAATGTGATATGTTAACTATATCGCATGTGTCGGAGGAATGAAGTTTCTCTTTTACTTAAATTCTGGCATTTTCTATCTAAATCTGCATGCAGGAAAAATTAAGTCGCAAATTGTATGCCTGCAGCTGTGTATCCGGCGGTAATGATTCAAATTGTGCCACTAATTGTACCCCTAATTGTGCTCCTTATATTCTAAGTCGTATATAATGAGAATACATAAATGCAACACTATATTCGTTCACATTTTAAAATATTAACTTTGTCTCTTCATACATAGCAGTAGGTTTACTCACTTGATCTGAGGACATGTGCATTGGTGACTGTGTGCTTTTAAGTCATTACTATAATTTGACTGTTATTATTCTAAAGATAATGCTTCACAATTTTTTTTCGTCCTGTAAGAACCTTTTTAGGGACATTGATAAGATTGCATGGTATGTATGGTACTACTTCTCTTGATACTCTCAATAAAACGATGCCACCTGCTGTGTTGGATGTTTCGAAAGAAGGCATTGTATGAGTAATTTTTTCATAGAAGCGGCCTGATTATTAAAAGTTGTAAACACGTATGCAGCGTTTCGCGTTTTAGTATGTAGATAACGTGTAATGGTAGAAAAGTGAAAGTGCATTAGTCGTCCCGGTGTCTAACTTGATAATTGAGTTTTTTTATTCATGAAAAAGGTTTAATCTTCAATAGATTTTCTACGATCACTTAAAGTATTACAGTAAAGAAATACTTAGTATTGTATCTTTTATGGGGATAATAAAGTAGCAGTATTACAAATGTATAGCCTTCTGCGGCAGAAGTGTAGTCTACTATATATTTTGCTTCGCATTTTGTCAGAAACCATAACTGTAACGAACCTGAGAAATAAGTAATGTTTCTTCTCTGAAAAAGTTTTGCTGTGTAGACATGACGCGAATGTGGCCTGTGTTATGAATGTGAAATATTTACTTGAATTCCACCACACCTAAACCCGCCAACAGGCGTTAGCTGTTGAGCAGCTCATGTGTTCATCGCAAATACTTTATCTTTCATCAATGTTTTAACTATAGAATTGCCATGGTTTTAGCTCTCAGAAAGAAATAGCCGTGTCGTTCGGTTAGTTTCATTGGAACTGATGGTAGATTGTAGCAAATGCTGTAGATAATATAGACACTAATTGTGCAGCAGCGGCGATAAGTTGTATGCCATGAAAGGCTGAGTTCCTCATTTTTTATAAGTGCTGCTTTTGTCAAATTCGAAACACGCTCAATTTTTAGTGCTGGTACATATTAAGAAGCTTCCATATAAGAATTTTTTATAGATTGCGTCTCGCCAGACGAAAAATAGTAAAAATGTTTTCGAAAACTGCAAATGAATATGGAATAGAAAATTATCAATGAACGATCATTCTCCTTCAACTTTTTCAATATTTAGATAAATGCGTTAGGGGCAGCTAAGCTGTCGAACTCCTACGTTGTACACAATTAACTCTGCTATTATGTAAGGTTAAAGATTTTCTTCATCTATACTGTGGTGAATGTTGTGAATTTCAGATACTTGAATGTTTCTATGTATAATTCATGTAGCTTAACGACGTAGCCTTGTGTCCCCCTCTGTCATATCGCCAGGTATCCCGGAGTTCTGATAGCTGTAGTAGGTAGGAAACTTCATCAGCGACGAGCCTAAGTAACAAATTTTCGAATAGAATGTTTCTTTATAAATCCATCGATACAGATGTTACCAAAAATGTAATGACCACATGAAGCTACCGTAGGTCGTGCGACCTGTTGAATGCTTAGAAGTTCACATTATCAGGCATACTTACTGTTGCAGAATAACAGATCTTAGATGTGACATCTAAACTACAAGCTCTTACCTCCGATTCTCTTGTTGCTGTTCTGCTGTCTATCAAAATTATTGTTTGAATTCTGAAATGATAATATAATATTACTTCCTTTTTAACAATATTTTAATTTATTTCTCATTTACATGAATTGCTCCTACATAGATCCTATCAGTAGATTGACCTCTGAATAAGTTCATGCCGTTATCTTACACAATCAATTTATTAGTTACGAGGTAAAATGCGGTCTGTTTCTTAGCTCTTTGTTAACTCATGTCGGATTGCATGAATACCTACGTCACTTTGTACGATTGTAAAGTCGTACCATTATGCATTCTGACAAAGCTTAAGCCGTAATTTGTAGCTAGCTTTATTTTACGTAACCAAATAATCATTATTTTTATTACTTTTATAATATTTGCGAGTGTATGGCATGAATGGAACTTTACTCATCTTTATCCAAGTGCGATATATTTCTATATAGTTTAATAATCTATTTCTGTAAGCGTACGTTAAGCAAGCGTTTCAATTCTTATTGTATCGATATAATTTTCAAATTGAAGGAAGTATGAACGGCAGTTTACCCGCCATTCAGCTGCCAGCGCGTTTCTGCTATGTTGGTAATTTGGTGCGGTGCATTTTATGTTATGCACAATTCAATAATTGCTTTTCGTCTCACAACCTTTCGAATAATTATATTTAAATATTTTTGTGGATAACGTTTTGAGTAATTTGATTTAATATCTTTGTTGTTCTCCAGTCTTAGGTATTGGGATGAATGTACGCGGTACCGCTATTATTATATTTTTTACCGTGTTTCAAAAACTCACCTCGATAAGCAAGTTGTTCACTTCTCGTGCAATATCTCAACTGTGCATTCCGTCATCGTGTCATGGATTATCCCTACCATCTCTTTATTTCCGTGCACTGATTTTCATTGCTCATAACTTACGTTTGATACATTGAAACTTTCCGAGGTTTCACCTCTGATGGTTGCATTCTAAGTTTCTGCTTATTTTTTATTAATCACCTTCTAGGTATGAACCTCAATTTTTTCTACGGTTTCTTTTCTTATTTGTTTTGTAAAAAATGTACTTTCACGCAGAAATAAAAGGTTGACATGATTCATTTGATATCTTCCGATATATTTTTTCCATGCATTCCTTTACGGCATTTAAAGTTGTATTGCATGAATTGTATGAGAGTCTCTGTCACATACGTTGTTCGCCTCATTTCTCAACATTCTTCTGAAGGTATCTTTAAGTCTGAATTTCACTCTCTTCTTAAGGAAGTCTCAATCTCTTGCAGAGCATCTCATTTTGTGGTTACTTATGCATGATTTCAAAAAATTTGTTATTATTTTTTGTTGTGCGAGGCCAACTGCGTTGGTACTTGTAAAATATTGCATGACTCTTAAACCATGAAGCGAGTTCGCTCCATGAGTCTCTACATGAACCTCAAGAGGCGGTGAGGAAGACGATAGCTGGCAGTCGAGAAATTCGTTTCCTTTATAATACATTCCTCATGATAAATAATTGTATATGAAAATTTAATTTCTGTTTAATATGGTTCGTGTCGGAATCTGAGCGGAATTTTTACATTTTTAAAGATATTTTTCTCTACTTCAGCGATTATGTTGAGAAAATTTTCCGTGGTTTATGGTATCTTTTGACGAATTACCTCACGCTGGTCACTCATGTCTTTGTTTTTAATTAATGCCGCTAATGCTCAATTAAAAACTAATTTTATAAGTTTAAGTTGATATTATTTGAACATTTCTAAGAGGATTAGAATATTTCTGCAGAAAATGTCACGCCCTCGCGTAATGTTTTGATATTTTTTGTCCCACACTCAAGAAAAAGAATTTTTAAAATTGTCCTAATAGCGACACAATTTGTGCACGTCGCAAGAATACTTCTTTTTGTTTGGCAAAAATGGGTCATGATGATGATCCACACGAACGCAAAAATGAATCGCTGTTTTGATAGTCGCCCCCATTACTCTGAATGTGGGCTCTTCTCCCAATTTATGATGTTGGCTCAACTTTCATGTGATAAGATCTTTGTTTAATGATAATTTTAACTTCAATGTTCAATTTCATATACTGTTCACATTTTTTATACCATTTTTTTTCAGAAAATCTTTGACCTTCAAATTTATTTTAAAAATCTGGAAAGTTATCCGTTAGCTTTACGATGCCTACTTTTTCATTAATCATCATCCTATTTGAATGGCAGGTTTTATTTTTTATTCACTCGTGATTAAGTTTATTACTAATTATTCTCTGTTTTTAAATTGATATTGTTTATTTGCAAATCTTCTATTCTACGTATTTTATTTCGGGACTGTTGAGTGGAGTGCATGGTTGAACTAGTATAAGGTTGACCCATGAGAAGCTCATTTTCGCGGATGGAGCTTGTTTTTTGCCTGTGACGTTACGGGCATTAACCAATCACAAAAATGCGTTCAAACCAGTCAACCAATCCGCCATGGGAATGACGGGTTTGATCTACGTGACGTAACAAGAAAGCTGAACTGAAAGGCGGAACTGCTCGTGGGTCAACCTTATATAGTTCAACCATGAGTGGAGTGAATGAACAGGTAGGTTTCGCTATTACTCCCTTTCTTCCGGTAGCGTATAACCGAGCTTAGACTAGCTTCTCTTAGATGTGCTTAACCATCCACAGCACCTCAAAACAAGTTGGTTGCCACATATTTCTAACATTTATCAATGTAGCTCCAGTGTATTATCGATCTGCCTGCAACCAACATCACCAAATGAACTCGGTGGAATGTTTTTATTTTTGAACGTCCTTGATGCTTTAATTACTTTTATCCTAGTTGGTATTTTGATATATGCACTACTGGAGTCTTGTGAACCTCGTTATGCCGTACTTGGTAACTAGACGAAACTCATTAGATTCTAGAAAATTCTTGTAAGTTCTAGAAAATGCTAGTTGATAACTGAGTTTCAGACGAGCTCTAGCGCTTCATGAGCCTAGAGTTTGTATCCCAATCTCGTTGATGAACGTTCATTAAATTTAAATACGAAAATAGTGTAATAAGTTTACATTGAATGAACCCGCCTACTACCATCCCATTGCCACCTCCTCCTGCTTCATTATAATCGTAAGTGTTATTACTCATCGTTCTCATAGTTCATAAGCTCCCACCATAATACCGCTTCTCTAACAATATGCTGTATAACAGCTGCTTTGATGACAGACCAACTTTTGTAACGGTTTCACTTTGAAGTAAAGTTTTTTGTGCATGCGGCTATCATTCAGCTTATGATTATATAATCGATTATGACAATAAATAACGCATTTTCAAACAAAAATATATTTCCAAAACATCACCACCATTCGCCCTCTATATCAAGTCATCCGATAACTTGAAAACAAACATTCACTGTGATCAATGGTAAGGGAAAAATCATTCAGGACTGATGCCATGATAAAACTGCAGTAGTTACGTGACTGATTCATAAATATTGGGAATGAACACACTTGGTTTGCTTGCTCGGACAACTTGAACAAGCTTGATAACAGATACGATATTTCATTGCTATTGTGAAAGGTAATATAGAAATAAAAATGGACATAGCATATTCAAACACTCAAAAATATTGTAGGTAGGTAATCTAAGAAGCAGAGTATATAACGTACGTGTGGTAGTTAACTGAACGACAAGCAATAAAACCTGATGGGAGCTGCAACTCACCTTGTATAATATAATAATGCTATAATATGATAAACGATACTTCACAAACGTTTCCTACGTGAATAAAAGACAAATGAAAAATGGGGAAACGCCAAATTCGACAGTTCTTCTTAATCTGACATTTAATGCGATTCATTGTATTACAAAGGGAATGTCGATAAAAATATCTCTTCATTGGCTTTGATAGAATATTTTATACCCTTACCTGGCAAGTAACAAACCTTACTCATTTCAATTACATACTTTGCAATACATAGTAAAGGGATTAAAAAGCATGAGAGCAAGGAACAGCTTCACCTGAACTTGAGGGCCAGCCAAAGCAGTAAGAAGACAAAAAAGACGAAGGCAAAGAGAATGGGTGTGTGGTAATTGTGGAGGCTGCGGGACATGACGCCAAGACGCTTCACAGTGCGGTCCAGAATGCTGCCAGACTTACCCATGTCATCATCCTGCTCAGGAATCACTTGTCAGGCATGCAACCATACTCCTTAATTAGATACATCAGATGGTGGGATTGTGGCTTAAATCAATTAAAAGCATATGATATTGATACTTATGCACGGACACTGATCCATTTTTTTTCTGACTATATATTAAAGTGAATTTCTAATTAATAATTATGTAATGGCTACTAATATTTTTACAAATTTAAAGAGAATAATTATATAATGGAATCTATGAAATCATTAGCAGCAATTAAAAAAAAATATAACTTAGTACTCACTGCAGTGAGTGACAGCGCATTTTCTCGTTGACGAAAACTTGAGGTCATGGACGGACGGACAGACGGACATGGCGAGCGCAATAGTGCATTTTTTCCATAAATGAGAAAATGCGCTACAAATTAATAAAGAGCTCAGCCAAAAAGTTGACTAGACTTAAAGAAAGCTAAACACTGCTCAATGATAATGCTAAGAAATACATGACTTCAAAGCATCACAATTCCTCTCTGTATAACTCACCATATCTGCAAGCATCTTGTTCTGGTACCGGACTTCATTGCCAATGTCGATGGTCATCTGAAATAAACAAATAGACATAGATATATTTGAAAAAATTGCTGTCTATAACATTGAGATATTCAACAGAAAGCATCAATTCATTGTTTGAACCTAGAAATTAATTAATTTAGCATGTTGTATAAAAAATGCATACTATGATCATGAAGTGAAAAGTAGGTCATTGAGCTCAGAGTAGGAGCAACAAGAGCATATATATACACCGGTATAGATAGCCAAAGTGCTTGGAAGCAGAACAGGTTGTACAAATGTATGAAGTGGTAAGAACTTGTCCAATTGAGCAACAAAGTTTAATGAATGATCCCTTAGGAAGCAGCCTTCCAAGATAGCAGTCAGGACCTAAATTATAGCTAGATTAATAATACTTACGCAAAATTTTTTGAGATTTTTAGATCCTCAAATTGTACCATCAATTTTAGTCAATTACACATGCACAAAGAATCTATTATAAAATTAGATCAAATAAGGATGATGAAACCAAAGTGATAATATAAGCATGAATAGTGTTTCCTAAAATGGACAGAAGTTTGATGAAATGTTATACACCTCGTTCCTCTCAGAGTTTTTACAAGGTTTATTGGCATTGATGACAAACTTTATAGAAGACTGAAAGATACAAGAAGATTGAGAGACACAAGAAGACTGAGAGATACAAGAAGATTGAAAGATATGAGAAGATTGAAAGATATGAGAAGATTGAAAGATACAAGAAGATAGTGCTATCATTGTACTCTGTATTAGTTGTTTAGATTCAAATCCAGAGATTAGAATACAGCTTGAAACACACTTAAAATTACTGGCAAACCACTTAATTTAATATGCATCTATCAATACTATAGAACATAGTTCATTTTGCACTTCATGATCCATTTTTTTCACCATTCTGTGATGTACCTATGCCTACCACATTTTCAATTACCATTTTTCCATTCTCACCGATTTTAATGTTTTTACTTTACTCCGGAGCTGTGTGGTAAGATCTTCATTTTCATCCTCAATAAGTTTACTGTTGCCATCCATGCTGCCAGCACCACTGGCCCTGCCAGACCCATAGGTTGAGCCATAGTTGTGATTGTTGTAGTATGACATCTTCACATCACACTGATCCTTTCAAGCTCTGAAAATATATTTTAATAATGTTACTATCTAAAAACTTTCAGTATCATGCAATGTAATAAAGAAACTCAAGCAAAACTTTTGTCTATTAACTCCCAGTCAAGAAAAAGAAATTAAAAACGGATAATAACTCTAAATTCATCATTTAATGTGCAAATTAGGATATTTCATACAAAGCTATGATGCTAGTGTCCTTCAGAGCTTGAGTCATCAGCTGTAACGCATCATTGAACTCGGCAGAAACTATTATTTTCTTCCCTGTTGATTAAAATTATTTGATAGAGTGCATGTATGGATGTGGTAATATCATATCAATAAAGGAAAAACAAGTAAAAATCACAGAAAATGTCATTTATTCTTCATCCAAATTTGTTTATGAAATATTTCATGGCAAGAATTTTTCAACAAAAAATGCTAAAACCAACCCTTCTTACATTGTTAGGCAGTAATAATCTATCACTGGTAAAAAAGGTGAAGTAATAGAATGAAGCCAAATTTTCTAAAAAAAACAAGCAAATAAGATTGAACAGTACTTAGTCTGTTTTGGAAGTAAAAATAGTAAGTTGCTTAAAAAAAAAGAATTATATATTGCTTCAAACTGTCAATAATAGTATGTATTATGTAAAATATATTCACAATTCACACATCACTGGAGAATATAAAATGAGGACATTTATCAATCTCTCAGATTCCACCACTACTGGATTTATTTTGTTTTTTTACTTCAACTTTGGGGGTAACAAATTTCTCAATTGTATGAAAATACATTCAAAGGTTAAATATACATTTTCATTAGTTTCTGAGACTGCTCAAGACAACAAAAATGTTTTCATTAGGTTGTAAAATTTGTTCAGAACCATTTTCTCATCTTTTATACCTATGCTTTTTTTAATTTTTTACAAATACATTTCTACTTTCTTGCAGGACCACTGGCACATTTTATTTATGACTTAACCACAAAGCTCTCTGAAAAAGGAAGGAAAACCTAAAATAGTAAACTAAATCTTCAAGTTAGTACCAATAGGTACTAGATAGTTAACTTTAAATCAGGTATATAATAAAAACTTGAGGTTGTCTTCAACAGAATAAATGCAGGGTTTGTATCTTAATTCTAGATTTAAATAAACATTTCTTTCATTATTGCCAGGTACTGTAGTTTGAAAATTATTTTAACAGTTAATTGTTAAATACCTAGGTAATTCTACCCACTTTTATAGGTTTTTCTTTTTCTTTGGTAAAAATAAGAAAAATGGCATCTTTTCATCCAAAATTGTTAAAATAAGCTGTGAAACAATTGTTTTTATCTACAAATTTAGGAAAGTTCTGCCCAATATTCCCAATTAGAGGCAGCCAAGGGATTTTATTTTAGTTTGTGAGTTTACCATATGCCTTTAATTATCTTTCAATAATATATGATTTTTCTTGATACGGAAATTTGGTGAATGAGAAATCTAGAACTTTATTTCAGAAGAAATTTTCTTTTTTCAAAGTCATATGGCAACACTGAACACCGTCTGTTTACATTTCGTATGTATAATAGCCGCAGTTTACGATTACCGTACGTTCCGTCTCCGACAAGGCGGACTAGCGGAAGAGTCAGAAGTAACCCGGACATGTCTTACATTTTATTATTGTCAGTTCGACTCGCGTATATTGTCGACTAAAATAGTAGAACTATTTATTTAGACTAAAATAGTAGAACTATTTTAGCTTTCTAAAGTACGGCGCACAGCGCATTTTTTTACCAGCATAGTACGGCGCACCGCACAGGTCGGAAGATGTGCACCTGGCACATCTTCCTGACCATGGAGCTCACACAGCGATCGGAATTTGAACACGTGGATTTCGGAATTACGTATTAGTACAATTTGAAGCGCGGTCGGAATACGTCTCACCACGTGCCTAATATAGTCACACACAGTGTTGGAATATAGGGATTTGGTAGGTTTGCATTCTAAAGGCTTCTAAATGAATATGGCAACATTTTGTGACGTTTCATCTTTGCTGGCGCGTAGTACGGTGTTTTGAGAGTCACATAAAGCAAACAGAACTCGAGTGACGCATACTGGTATTTTTTTTATAGCTTTTCATTTCTCGATGCATCCTTAATGTGTCGGAACTTGGAATATACCGCATTTACCCAGCTCCAGCATTGACCAGCACTGTCCAGCAGCCCATGGCCCGGGCCATGGATCATGATGGATGACTTCTGCAATTTCTGGGCTCTGGCTGGAGCTGAATAATGTTATAATGACATAATTAAAGGCATAAACGCCCCTGATGGGCGACGGCTGACGTCAGTCCGTCACTAATTACAACAATCAAATGAATCAATGCTTGATATTATAGAGGGAATAGCATGAAGGACGGCTACCAGTATTCTTAACCTGCAGTGAGACAGTGAGGCTCTAGCCTCCAGTCTTCAGGACTAGGAGTGAAGTGAAAGTCATTACTGACATAACATTACTTCGTGGCTCGTGCTCCGTCCACATCACCCATACTTTTGCAGACTAAATTCTCTCAGCCCTCAGGCTGCATAGAAATGCTTTTGCGGATTCGTTAGCATTCTCGGTAAGTGTTTTTATTTCCATACCCCAGAATCCCATGGTTGAACTATATGCCAGAATTATGAAGTAGTTACTATACTATATGAACTTGTTCAACCATGCCAGAATTCATTTTAAATTTGATGACCTTATGACGTTATGATGAGTTCGGGACTTCCTAGTCCCCGGTCACGCTGATGCGCCGCCTTCGTCTTTAGGCAAAACTTTGATAAATAAATGAAAAACATTGCGCTTTCTTTATGACTTTGACGTTTTTAGCGCATTTTCTGATTTGTCGATGAAAGGCGCTATCGTGCTCATGTCAGTCTGTTCGTGACTCCACGTTTTCGTCGACGAGAAAATGCGCTCTCTCTCACTCACAGCAGTGACTACTGTGTTATATTTTTTACTGCTTCTGTAGCTTATTCGGAGAAGTTATAAAAAATATGTATATAATATAGTGCTATTACAAAATACCGATTACAATTTTCGATCTGATATAATCGAGGCAATAGGATATCCAATTCTCACTTCATTTTTTTTTCTAGAAAAAAAAAATCAACGCAAATTGTAGCAGTCGTTCCATCTGGAAGCGAGTCCCACTAAATTTAGCATATTTAATGCATGCCTCAAGTAAAAGCTGTTTAATGACATTATTATATTCACATTAATTGTAATATTTTCTCAGTCGAGGTAAAAGGATCAAATTTAGCATGTATGCCGGGTTGTAAGAGCTGAATTTCAAGAGTCGGGTAACATTTTCTTCGCTCATGACTAATCAACACAATTTGAAGTGCACATTCTATCGAACATGATTTATATCTAGATGGAGATGACAGCATTGTATGAGCTACTTGTGTACGATGAATTTTGCGAAATAACACTCTTACGGTGAGTGGATAGTAATACTAATACGTAGAATAATTATCATTTCCAGGAGGAAACATACAAGCCAAACAAAGAGACGAAATGTATGTATAAATTTATTGAAGACAGTATCATTACAAAAGAGTTCTTTGCCTCATTAATGTGCCACAAGAGACGAAGCAATAAAGTTCATAAAATAATCGACAAACTTCGTAAAATTAATAATATGACATAACAAAAGTTTTGATTAGTTTAATTAGATAATCGCATTAGGTTTACAGTTGTGACACATCTTTTGGCAGCATAAGCTTGGGAGACGTTAATGGTTATAGGCTTCGACGAGTCCAGAGCACAACAATAATGATGAACTGTTAAAAATTCATTAGCCTAAGGCGAGTGAACAGTTATCACTATTAGAGCAGAGCCAATAGGTAACACAGTTGAGTCAGCTCATCATTTACTCAATCTAATCACAGGAGTAACTAACTTGCTGTAATGTTATAATCAACCCGTTATCCAGTAACAGAATTCGATTAATGAACATATAAACATTTCATACCAATTAGGAAACACTTTTCAATTCTTTAAGGTATAAATACACAAGAAATTTCAGGTTTAGGTGCATTAGGAAAGGCCTCAATATATCACAAGGTATCGGACGGCACATAGAAGGAGGGATGCCGGTGCCAGAAGAAGTGGGTGCGTCACTGCCACAATGGGAGGGGTGTTGATGCGGCACAGCACCTCCCACCACAATGGGAAGATGGGAGTGTTAGTGCCGAGCAGTGCGGGGCAGCACTTTACCACAATGGGAGGATGGGGGTGTTAGTGCCGAGCAGTGCGGGGCAGCACTTTACCACAATGGGAGGATGGTGGTGTTGGTGCAGAGTAGTGCGGGTCAGCACTGCACCTCCTAGGACCAAACTGGAGTAATATGATGAGGATCATTTTCTGCAACGGCTCTCAACCAGAGAAATTATAAATCGATGAGAGGAAAGGACATCTTAGTGCACAAGTTGCTTACCCGTGCAGGATCTGTGTTCACATTGAGGTTCATTTTCGCTCATGTTAGATGTAAATGCAATTCATCAACCTACCGAGAGACGTAGGACGATAACCAGAAAGAGTTCAAAGTAAGACAGCAGTTTCTTAAGCCCATTTCTGAACATTAACGACGAAGCAATAACTTGCAGAATTAAAATCCATGGGTAACAAAGTTCATCAATATTTTTAAATGACATCACTAGTAGCTACCTACGATTAGATTACTATTGTTCACAAAAATTTTTTAACTGTAACATACCGAAGAAACAAGATAACACGTTCTCAAAAATATCCATACCAATCAACTGTCTTGAGACTATGAGAGCATTCAGAGTATACCTATTGCATATATATACACAGACATACATTATATACACGAGCTACGGGCGCGCTCTATAAACTGTTAAATAACTTTGCCGAGTCAGTTAACTTAGCCGTAGGCGTAGGCGATGGAGTTAGGGTGACACGCAATTCACGGGTAGCAGACAACGAGAAATGATTCGTGTTTTTAGGTCGAAGGGGTGGTTAATTTAAATTAAATCATTATATTTAACCTTGAAGAGTTGTTTATACAATTGCTCCTGTTAAGCAAAATAGCTACACTAACGTAATATGAAGGGAACAATGAAACTTCGAGAGATATTGAGCTGAGCTCTCGAGGTTCAACACATTATGATCGCAATAAACATCTCATAATAAAATTGAGCGACGAATCAGGAAATACAAAAATCTACAAAAATTAGACTGCTAAGTAGGATAGTCATTAATCGGTCATTGCGAAAGCTAATCATTGAGTATACTAGGCGAAACCAGAATAATTTGAATGTTTTCATCAGCTATGGAACAAACTAATCATGTAATTATATGGTGAACATGAGATAATTCCCTCCGTAAGTTCTACACTCGCATTTTACATCGGTGCTTGCAGCTCAGAAGCGAGTAATGTACTCGTTACTTTCGCATAGATAACAAGGCACGATATGTTTACAACAGGCATATCCTTCACTAACACACATCAGTACAAACACGTAGTCGTTCAATAAGCGATGCAAGGCTCTTCGATGTTTCGTTTATATCAGTATTTCGAGACAAAACTAATAGAGAAACAAGGCATCTCTTTTGTAAGCGTGTAGTGTGAGAGACGCCAACAGGACTTCGTTTGTGATGGTTTCTATGACACTGGCATCTAAGGTTCGTAGCTTTCAACACCAATCAGCCATGTAATTAAAATCTTTAAACAATCGCTGGTCGAATTGGTTGAGGATCCGACTCTCCTTAGGCGGCGTGAGAACAGCCTTCTCGTTGGTGAACTCCTCGTCAAAGTTGCTCACATCTTCAGGTGAAGTCTGCAAAAAAACAGTACAAGTGTAAAATTATACATACATTTGAATGATTAGTACCTCGTGAGTATGAGTAACTCATACAGGTACATACAATTAGATAATATTCAAAATAATACAATCAATTTTGAAACATAACAATTATTAGCTCGACTACAGCGTTAGTAAGTATTTAGTATATAGCATACTTAGTCCATCAAAAGATAGACTGAGTATGGCATTAGTATTTGGCTATTTCTTGTAGAGACAAAGGCTATCCAAAAGAATACCCACCACAGTGGGTACGAAAGGAGGCTTGATCTTGCGTTGCAACAAGTCGTTCCAGTTGACGGTACGGAAGAAGTGTTGCTTCTTTACGTCTTCGGCGTCTTTTTCTGACGCGCCTAGTCTGCGGTCGGGATGCTTACGCAGCAGCTTGCGCATGATCGCAACAGCTTCAATGGACAAGAATCTTGGGTACCGAACTTCATCGTTAACGATACTGTCGAATACTTCTTCTTCGTCGTCACCAGGGAACGGGCTCTGCAGAAAGTCGACAGAATCAGTTGTATTTTCCTGGTAATTAATCTGCATTATTCGTCACATTCAAGGCGACGCGTGAGTGATAACATTGAGATAAGCTTGACAGAGAACATAGCTTCCTCTAGTATGAGTGCAGTTGTGCAAGGCATGCCGCAACATGAGTTAGGAGTCGCACGACTTTTTACTATCAGTGAGATAAAAGAAAATCTAACCATCGTGTCTACACGATAAGACTCTAAAAATTTTATTTTTATTTTATTTAAGTAGCTTTTATTAAATTTTCATGGCTTTTAAAGGAGGCTATTTGAATGAGAGGCTGTACTTTATCCTTGAAGCTCAGATAATCGCGACTCTTGGTATAACGATACGACATCTACATTAAAGGAAGTAAAAACATTAAAATATTGCTATGCAATATTGAAACACTGCTATATAATGTAATAATAATGTTAATATCATTACATTATTTAGTTACATATACACACAAGATTAGATACATTAGCTACAACCAAGTTAAACTGACCTCGCCGACAAGCATCTCGAAGATAAGCACTCCCAGGCCCCACCAGTCGACGGCGCGTGTGTAGGAGGTCTCCGTGAGCACCTCTGGCGCCAGGAATTCCGGAGTTCCACAGAAAGTTCCAGTTCGGTCGCCATATCCCATGCCTTCTTTGCATAAACCAAAGTCGGCAATTTTAACATAGCCATCAGTGTCAAGCAGGAGGTTGTCGAGCTTCAGGTCCCGATAGATGATGCGATTGTCGTGCAGATACTGAAGACCGAGCACGACGCACGCGGCGTAAAACACTGCGCGAGGCTCGTCGAATACATCGGCGTGGATGTGCATCATTAAATCGCCGCCTGCTGCGTACTCCATCACGAAGCATACGTGACTCTGAAAATTGGATCACATATGGTGAAGATACCATCATAATTTCAATAAAATATTTTATGAATAAGGAAAGAATTCTGAGGGGTAAATGTAATCTGGTGATTATAACGACGGTTGTAGTTTCATCTCAATCATAATAAAAAAACGTGGATAGCACTTCACTTACGGGTTTGGCGATGCATTCTAGTAAAAAAAAATGAAGGTACAAGAAATAGTAGGCGAATGCTCACCTCAGTCTGGAAGCACGAGAAGAGATTTACAAGGAAAGGATGCCGCACAGAGTTGGCGACTTCGAATATCCTCTTTTCTGCAAGCAAGCTCTCGACTTCATCCCGGTTGATGATGTCGGCTTTCTTGAGAGCTTTGATGGCGAAGTATTCGGTGGTGGTCTTGTATTGACCCAGTATGACTTTACCGAAGTGACCACGCCCCAAGACTGAGATGAGGCGGAACTGGTCCAGCGTCATGGAACCGTATTGCGAGTTGCGGTGCGTTTCAATGCCAGAGTCGCGCTCGCCGTGAGCAGCTCGGGGGCGTGGACGAGCGTGTACCGCTCCGCCGGTGTGGTTGCTTCCATCTTCTAGGGTAACAGGCGGGTAGCCCTGCACAGCAATAACAAAATAAATTAATATACAACCTGAAAAATAATTATTTAACAATATTAGCGTACCCTCTACAACAGCAAAATTAATAAATTAATATACAATCTGAACAATTATTTAGCAAGATTAGCATCGAAGATGTGAAAACCAGGAAACTGTTAAAACGACCAAGACCTACACCACCATTCTATAAATAGCCCGTGAGTAATAATAGTAAAACTATCGTGTAACCATCAGGCTTCGCTGCAGGCAATGAAATATTTCAAGCAAAAGAAAACTTTTAAAGTTATTACAAGCGAAAATTTACCATAATTTGTCCTCATGATTAAGCATTTAAGTTACATCAAAGAAAATTGAATACATGGAATTAAAGAGAAAGATTAAAACTTACAGAAAGCATGGAATGAGGCAAAACACATGAAGAGATTAGTATTGAGATAGAATCATGCACTATGAAAACAATGACTGATGTAATGTGAACAGGAAATAAAGATCAAGAGAAGTATGAGAATGTAAGTTAATGAATGAGCAATGGTAACATACAGTAGTGACGAAGTAAAAATACTGGAACGAACGACACCAAGCAGTAGTTTATGCAGCTCATTAACGGTTTATAAATAACGTAAGATCGTCCTCGAAGTTGCCCAACGTTTTAACCTCTATTCACCAAGTTGGAATCAATGAAGTAAGACTGAATCCTAAAAAACCGCAGATGATAAGTTTTCGAAATGCAGCCAACAATATCTGGCAGTTAAATCTATAAATATTAAAGTTTATTAAAATCTTGCCGTGACAATTTGAGAATAATGCGAAGTATTTGTAATATGATCCATTTACCACTCGGTGATTTGCACATAGAAGATGTTGCGATTATTCAGCAAAGTGTTATAGGTAGAGAACTCTAGCTTAAATTTACTTCGAAACCATAAACTGACGCAGAAAGGGAAATTTGCTTACGTAAATTTTACAGTAGACTAGCAAAAATTACATACAATAACTTGATGTCAACCGTAGATTAAGTATCGTTAGAAAAGCCAAGTCGGGTTAGTGGCGAAATTATTTTTTGATTAAAAAGAAAGCACTCGGGACGCGCGTTTTACAGTGACAAGCTACCTGTTCGTCAGGCTGCTGGACGGTATAGCAAGTGAGTGAAGACTGAACAACGGAGACGCCAGTGAACCTCTCATCGGTCTTGACCTCCAACGAGAGCATCTTACTGGACGCATTCTGCTGGTGAGCTAATATCTCGGACAGGTGCAAGGGTGAGGTGAGTGAGGGGCGTGATATGTCTTCGTCAGTGACGTCCTCGATACTGACCTGCGACGAGGAGCTGTACTCGTCGAAAAGACCACCTGAGACACGAGTGCCGGTGTCGACAGGTGGTGTGGGTGGCTCTGTGGCAGTAGGTGCCACGTCAGGCAGAAGATGTAGCTCAGACAGAGCGCTCTGTACGTCCACCAAAAAAGACAAGGAGATGGTGTCATGCAACGTGCGTTGTTTAACAAGTGTAAACAGTAAAGAATACATAACGTAAGATGAAAGCCCATAACGTACATCTGCCCAGTCATCCATTTCATCGACCATAATGTATGTGCTCGTGTATGTACGTAGAAAGGCATGCTCAACAACAAATCAAGTTAAAGGCTTTATTTTTGTGTTACGAGTAAAAATACATTACACAAAGTGAGCTTCAGAATATGTAGTAGGAAAGTATGATATTTTTGATACCAAATAGTCCGTCGGTGTAAAAACTCATGAGTTTTTCTTACCGAACAGGAAACTTCAAGACAAAGCAAGTACCAAAAGCAATGTACTGACGCCGATTTTTCCGTGATGTGCTAATTGCACATTAATCTTTTTTGCGGTGTAATGGAGAATATCTTTAGCGCATCGCAACTGAACTCAATTAAGGAAGCCTTAATAATTCCAATGTATCACCTGGAGCAATTAACAATTCGTGTACGTGTACTCAGTGAACTACACACAGGTTACGTAATTGAGTCAGGGATGTTCATGAATGTACCCAAAGAACTCGACTTAACGAACTCGTCATCTTGAATGGCCAAGGATGGCCAAACCTTAATTAAATGTTGCCTATTTGTTTAGATTCTATTTTACAGTCCATTCGACATCATTAGTCATCAGCCTAATGATTCATAGCAACAACTCGATAGCTCAATAGACATCAAGTGAGCAAAATATGCAACGAGACAGAAAAATTAAGTGAAATATTATGTTTGACTTCCACATTCTTTTTTTCAACTGACAACGCAACAATCCATTTAAAACAGCCAGTAAAATTAGCTCATTTTTGTTGTTTAAATAACGAACTACGCAAACAACAAACCGCGATTTATTGTACTAAGAAGAACAGCAATAAATAATGAACAAGACAAAGACAACAATTCACAAGTGGAAATATTGTGCGAGTGTATGCATCATGCACTAAGAGCAGGCAGTGTTTGACAATTTGTGGAACATGTATCGACAGGAACATGTAATCAGTCATGTCATCTAATTCAAGAATGTTCAAGAATATTACAAGAATATAAATAAACAAACAATACTACAGTAATACCGTCACTGCAGAGAAGTTTCATCCCTGGTTTTCTTACCTTGAGGTGCCATCTAAATATCGTGCAATGATGTTGTAAATTGAGAACCAATAAACGCGCTATAATAATATAAATTGGACCGCCAATACCGCATGAAAGACTTCAAAATTTTTCCATGGCCTACACTTAATCAAAATTTAAGATTTTTGTACACTAGATGTATGATACGGGATTTTGGATGAAAAAATACTATTAAAAGAACCAATGGAGAGATTGCTATACGATGGCAGACAGCACGTCTGCATTTAGAGCAAATCTTGATTACGTTAAATTGAATGACATTTTTGATTTATTATAGCCATTTCCTTAGGGCGTCAAAAAAGAGTACTAAGTTTCTTTAACCCCATAGGAATAGAAACAATAATTACCACTAAGTTAACCCATCACTTAAACTTTTATCATAACTAAATTATCGTTACTTCCCTTCAAATACCTCTATTTTTGCAGCGAATGGAATACACTATTATCGCTTATACACTATAGAAAGATCAAATTACCTTGAAGAACGTTCTCCAAGAGTCAGACCGAAGCAAGCGCTTGACGATGTGCACCAAAGTGCTCAGGTTGAGATTGAGCGCACCGAATTTACTTTGTAAAAGCGAGATCAAAAGTGAGAGGAGATTGTTGTTTTGTAAAATCCACGAGTCCCTGTTGACGGACATGCGATCGGGTCGCTGGCGCGTGATAATTGTGGGAGACGCAGTTTTGACGGCTTCAAGAGATGGACTAAAATCTGCCAATTCCAATTGGTTATTATTAATGTCGAAACAGAGATCGTCGTCGACGACCATCTCGCCCCGGTGGCGAATACTTCTCGTAACCATTTTCACTCAATATGTAATGTTCAAACACGAGGCACAAAACGTCCAAGGTAATCACAAGAATAGATCAAGATTTTCTGAATGCTTGTAGGCACAGAATGCAGCAGCACTACCAAGTGCTACCAAGACACGAACAAGACTGACATGTGAGGTCGCGCCTGGCGCTTATATAGCCCTGGGCAGCGGGATTAGCAGCAGCAGTCTCAGGTGGAACTCTTATCAGTAACAGACTGACCCTTCGTCTTGTGCCACTCAGACTGCTTATCGACAGCATTTACTGGTTGCCAACGTACTGCACGTAATATTACGTACTTAACTCAAATTTTTGATGCAGTCTCGACAGAAATTCGTTGGTAGATATTTGGCAAAAAGTTTTAACAATGAAATCAAGAAAGGGCTGGGTATCTAAGATGTAATCGTTATGAATAATGCGAGACTATAAATACGCGAAGTTCAGCACAATATTGATGTTCGCACGAGAAAAAAAATCTAGAGTAGCCCCACCTAAGTTAGTAAATCTTACTAGTCGGACAATTCCTTGAAAATACACATGGGACAAAAAATATTCTAATGATTTGTACAAGTTGTGCAGTCAAGGTGTGGACGACCGGTCTTCAGGAGGAAAATTTATCTTTACTGTATCATGTAACAATCTGCAGATTAAATTATTCAGGAGTGCTCTGCAGAAAATAAATAAATAATGCTACACCTTGTGCACTGCACTCAAGATCACGAGTGATAACGACTTCAATGGTATCTGAAATTACCAATTGAAAGCCATCTGTCAATGAGGAAAAACAGCAATTGTATTGCTATACAAGCATGTTGTAAAAAACGTGGCCATGCCAACATCGAAATAATTAGATATAAGTTGAGTTTGATATATATGTCGTATAAGATTGAATGACGATGTCAGTAGACTCCTTGCAAATATTGCTTTACAGAGAACATTGGCTTCGGTGATGATAGAAGGAAATGAATTCAACGTTAGAAGAAGAAAAAGTTACCGGCTAAAAATACGGATCGCGTATAATAAAAGAGGAACAACCATATTTACTTATATAGGTATGACGGAAGTTTCGTGCATGCATACTTATGGCTTAAAGTCTCACAACTGAATGCACTTAGAGGAGAGCAGAAAAACATCACATTCGACAATAATGTATCAGCTACGTCAACTCATGGAAAAAGCACAATAGGACCCCGCGGAGGCCAACCGTTTGGAGGTCTGAGGGCGGCGCGGATTTTGATTTGGAACATCTTGACTCAGAATTCAGCGGGAGGTCGAAGGCATACGCTATACATAGACTAAATTTTATAGACTAAAATGATCATGCCAAGCGTCTGCTCGATCGCAAGTTCATCAAAAATTAAAAACAATGAAAACACTAAGTAAATTCACCGCATCGTCAAGATAAGATGAATCTTCTGTGTAATTTTTTTTAATACATAGACAAAATTCGTTCGGCTTCGCTCATGCGCTGTTGGTTGCTTATTCGACTCACGTGATTTTCGTGATTTAACTACTTCGGAGTAATTCGCTTGTCCACTGCCAGTTGGTGCCGGTCTGTTGCGTTATTAAGGTGCTGCGAGAGCGTTTCCAGAATCTGCTCCTGCTTTTTGCTAATTTCACACGTTTTGTTTGCTACAAGCACCTACAAGATAGAAGATAAATACTAAAAATCCGAGTTCAGAAAAAATAAATTTATTTTCAGTTACTTCTTAATGGCCAAATCTAACATGGAGTCGACCGCATTCTACATAGTCGATTCTTCGCATAGAACGAATAAATCTCTATATCCGGAGAACATCAGTATAACATATAATTCGAGAGTTGAACACGTCTATCACTGCTTATTATCAAGGCAATTAAAGCCTTATTGTATATTCATTTGGAATCAATATTTTCCACCTCTCTGGTGCATACAGTTATCCTTTATTGACGTCAACAATGCATTTAATGAAGTCTAAGCTAACTGCAGCATTAATAATTCAATAAATTAGGTGCATCATTCGTAATAACGAGAAGGAAGGACGATTCGTATAGAAAAACTAAACTGAACAAGGCATCATTGAAGCTTTCTAGGAAGCGGCCTCACCCATGCTATTCTAAGGAGGCCCTATAACTCCTGCGGATACGCTATGTAGGCTCCGAAAACACCATCACTTTCGCTGCATGCCACGGCCTACTCTTTTCTGGCGCCACTGCCTCAAAGTGGAAGATGAGCTGATAGAATACTGCAACTTATCATCTTAATTGATGTGTATTTAATATCATCTAAGAAAATCGTATTGTCATGAGCCTTAACGTTAATTATCCGCTTCAACAAGTAAAAAAAACATTACAAATAAAAAATCCCAAAATTTGCTCCAATATTCACCTTCAAGACCAAATCTTGCTTTTATTCTTCAACAACATATATAAGTTTACTTTATTTCATTATTAAACGTGTTCTATGTGTTGCCACAAGAAAAAATCGAGCAAAAGGATTGCAATGAACTAGACTGTGAGTGTCTGAATAGATACCGACGAGCAGTTGTTATCACGATGACGCTATAGCTAAAAAGGAGTATGAAGTACCAGGCTAGACTACCATGCAACTGTTAACAAAATTTTAGCAGTGCTAGAGTATGTAAAAGCGCTATATTCTACATGGGATTTGTTGAGTGTACACTGTACAATGTACATAGGTGAGATCACGCGTTGTGCGAGTGACAACGGCGTGCTGTGCCACCCTCCCATACAGCCAACTGAGATTTATTCGTAATTAAGGTTGATTGAGTTGATGAATCAATTGTTTCATTTACAATTCTTACATTTCAATCTCGGAAAAAATTAGCATAGCCAAACTTCAGGATATAATTCCGAAATAACGGGAGTTTCATTAATTATCGTAAGTATCTATTTACTAGAACATTCCCAACAGAAAGCATCATAAAAAGGAACATTGAATGCGCTTGCCGAATAGAATTTAGCAGATACTTAATACACTAGTAAATCCCTTGGTAA